TAACCGGTTACATTGGCGACACATTTACTACAGTATTGATTGTCCTTCCTCCTTATCTTCCAACCATTTGGACGCAAACTTGCATTTCCCCATAACGATGTTGTTTAACAACCGGCGTAAACGGACCTTCGCGCGCTATCAAGCAGTGAGCGTGCGATGTCCTGTTCAGATGACGTCAAATCCAGCGGGATGCCATAATTAAACTACACAGAATCACACTACACACCTACGCCATGATTACATTCAGGCAGACTGTATAATACAACCTCTTTGGAGAATTTATATACTTATTGAAAACAAGCTACAAAATGTAATACCTTGGAAAATGGTGTATAATACTTTTTAATATCCTTCATTTTCGCTAAATTAATTGATCAACTTTTAATACTTTTTAAGACCCCGCGGACCCCCTGACGAATAAAGCTTTATTATTATTCATATGAGGATAATACATTCAGAATAGCAAGAATCCAGCGAGTACATTACAAAATAGCCAAACAGTTAAATGCTGGTGCAAATTTTGTAGGGTACATTTGTATAATGTTCATGTATTTTATCATGTTTTTTTGCGAGTAATATTCAGTAACAAAAGAAAGAATAAAAGATAATGAGCATTGTAAATCTGTGCTTGCCTCCAGGATAGTTAAAGGTTGGGTACCTTTGAACGGTTCCAAAAATTCCTATAAAAGTCGGAGAGCACCACCTTAAATTAATATTTCTCCCTCAGTAAAATATAATCATTCAGAATATTGCTATAAAACAAAACTCAAATGTTTGTATTCATAACCCTCTGTAATAGAAGCCATAAAAAACATTACCGCTGTCACTTTCCTCACACATATGAAGCTAAATATAAAGTATAATTAAGCCAGCAGGACTTTGAAACGTCCCTTGAGGAATACTCGGCCGATGAAAGACATCCATCAAAAAATAAGAATCAACCTCCTCATGGAAACAGATCCATACTTGTTTCCTTCCACCCTCAGGAAATAAGCGTATATGGAAATATCAACTAGATGAATTGCAGGGGGCTGTGTCGTGGTGCTCAGCTGCTCATTAAACCATCAGCAGAAGATCGAACATTCATTAAGAAACACGATGTGTGCTCGCGCCAGGTTCAAGGCTCTCTTTTCTTCTGAGGTGAAATAATATTTCACTCTAATAGTGTTCTAATGGTAAAGACACACACAGATTCAGGCTCTCGGTCTTTATATGCTGTTTTAACTGTTATTAAACTAGCATTGGTTTTAGTACATCCACCTGGTAGAGGTCATAAGGGGGTTCAAAATGATAACCGTAAAATCCTTTCAGAAGAACATCTTGATTCAAAACTCCAGTCTAAGTACACTGAACAAAAATATAAATGCAACACTTTTGTTTTTGCTCCCATTTTTCATGAGATGAACTCAAAGATCTAAAACATTTTCTATATACACAAAATAACCATTTCTCTCAAATATTGTTCACAAATCTGAAAAAATCTGTGATAGTGAGCACTTCTACTTTGCCGAGATAATCCATCCCACCTCACAGGTGTGGCATATCAAGATGCTGATTAGACAGCATGATTATTGCACAGGTGTGCCTTAGGCTGGCCACAATAAAAGGCCACTCTGAAACGTGCAGTTTCTTTTTTTGGGGGGGTCCGAAAACCAGTCAGTATCTGGTGTGACCACCACTTGCCTCACGCAGTGCAACACATCTCCTTCACATAGAGTTGAACAGGTTGTTGATTGTGGCCTGTGGAATGTTGGTCCACTCCTCTTCAATGGCTGTGCGAAGTTGCTGGATATTGGCAGGAACTGGAACACGCTGTCGTATACGCCGATCCAGAGCATCCCAAACATGCTCAATGGGTGACATGTCCGGTGAGTATGCTGGCCATGCAAGAACTGGGATGTTTTCAGCCTCCAGGAATTGTGTACAGATCCTTGCAACATGGGCCCGTGCATTATCATGCTGCAACATGAGGTGATGGTCGTGGATGAATGGCACAACAATGGGCCTGAGGATCTCGTCACGGTATCTCTGTGCATTCACAATGCCATCAATAAAATGCACCTGTGTTCGTCGTCCATAACATACGCCTGCCCATACCATAACCCCACCACCACCATGGGCCACTCGATTCACAACATTGACATCAGAAAACCGCTCACCCACACGATGCCACACACGCTGTCTGCCGTCTGCCCTGAACAGTGAAAACCGGGATTCATCCGTGAAGAGAACACCTCTCCAACGTGCCAGACGCCATCGAATGTGAGCATTTGCCCACTCAAGTCGGTTACGACGACGAACCGGAGTCAGGTCGAGACCCCGATGAGGACGACGAGCATGCAGATGAGCTTCACTGAGACGGTTTCTGACAGTTTGTGCAGAAATTCTTTGGTTATGCAAACCGATTGTTGCAGCAGCTGTCCGAGTGGCTGGTCTCAGACGATCTTGGAGGTGAACATGCTGGATGTGGAGGTCCTGGGCTGGTGTGGTTACACGTGGTCTGCGGTTGTGAGGCCGGTTGGATGTACCGCCAAATTCTCTGAAACGCCTTTGGAGACGGCTTATGGTAGAGAAATTAACATTAAATTCACGGGCAACAGCTCTGGTGGACATTCCTGCTGTCAGCATGCCAATTGCACGCTCCCTCAAAACTTGCGACATCTGTGGCATTGTGCTGTGTGATAAAACTGAACATTTCAGAGTGGCCTTTTATTGTGGCCAGCCTAAGGCACACCTGTGCAATAATCATGCTGTCTAATCAGCATCTTGATATGCCACACCTGTGAGGTGGGATGGATTATCTCGGCAAAGGAGAAGTGCTCACTATCACAGATTTTTTCAGATTTGTGAACAATATTTGAGAGAAATGGTTATTTTGTGTATATAGAAAATGTTTTAGATCTTTGAGTTCATCTCATGAAAAATGGGAGCAAAAACAAAAGTGTTGCATTTATATTTTTGTTCAGTGTATATATGCTTATACTCTTCTGAGCCACCCTCTTTTCAAAAGTATCTGACACACATTTCAGAGCGAGCATGCACGGGTATGTTGTTTAGTATAAATGAAAAATGATTTATCAAACAACAAAGTCTGGTTGACTCTCCAGAAATAATATCTGCAATTTATTGCCATGATATGTTTGAAATGAAATCTGAAATGATGTTATCGAAAACATTTCCTTTGTCTATTTTAAGCCCACCACAGGTGAAGTTTGACATCATACACTGTTAGGGAAATAATTGTCCTAGACTCCTATATGACGTGCAGGACCAACCCTGACGTCTGTTATCTCCTTTAAGGAGATAGGCTGCTTCAGCCATAATGTTGTTGTTCCCATTCTATGACCGGGCAACCCTAGGTCACAGATGGTTTATTGTTGTGGGTACACTGGGACACTTCCTTCTCTGTGTTTGTGGACTCCAAGGTGTGAAATCTTCGAGGTCATAAGTGTCAGACGCAAGTAACTCAGTGTTCCCAACTGTTTAGGCTATCTTCTCAAATATGTTGATTACTCTCTGCGAAACCAGTTAAATGGGCTAACGAGAGAGAGGCGCTCCAGAATTGACGTGGCAACTCTACCGTGAAGTCAGAACCTCTGGCTCTTGGACTTGTGATGGGAATCCTCCGGCCGAAGCTCCAAATAAACCATCAGTGTTTGACATCAAAGCTCCTGCTCTTTCCGTGTCTCCTTCATGAGTCGGTGACTCCCACTGCATTGCTACACAGAAGTTTCCCCCACATACACAGACTCGTCAACAAAAAGAGCCAGTTATCAGTACATGATTATAAAAATACTATAATAATTTCTAAATACTATATACTAAATACTAAAATATCTCCAACTAAAAGCTATAAATTGTTAGTGATTTGTTTCCTTGCGGCAACAATATGGCTACATCTTGTTGTTTGTGTCATTCCCACTAATTAAACACGTCAGTGCACATCTTTACTGTGTTGTCTTGAGCAGCACTCCTCAACAAAACAACTGTCCATCAAACAGCATTGTGGATCCTGTAACTAAGGCGGATATTTCCCATGGACGCCCTTCAAGCTGGTGTGTGTTTGTTAGCAGCTGCTGTGACAAAATGCCCAAGCTTTTCACGCAGTGGGCAGCGGATCAAAACTATTGACATCAGGGGACATCTTGTCTTAAAGAGTATCATTTGTAATGGCTCCATGATTGCAGGAGGCGTGAGGAAACACTTGTTATTTTAGATTATAAATGCTGTTTATGCAGCATCATGCTGGGTGAGTGTGACAGGTGGTGGGTGGCGCCCCACGCTATCCTGCTGATTTTCTGTGCATGTGCCCACTCGGGCTGCACCATTTTGAAAAAAAATACGGATTGCGATGATTGTGACGGATATAGCAATAGCAATGATTGGCTATTTTGGAGGGATCGATCATTTTCTAATCATTATTTTCCTTATCAATAAGGTGTTAATTCGTTTTTTAAGATAATTTGTACCAAACAAATATGTTTTGATAAGTCTGTACATTATTATTTGTATCTCTGCAGATCCACAATACTTGATCGGATGGTATATTTTTGAAATATTTAGCCTTTACCAAATATTGCATAAGTCCATAGTGATAGTTGATTACATTTTGATTAACTGTGCAGCCCTAGTGCCCACAGTCGTACACAACAAATGCTTTCCGTGCTCACATACATTGTGTCCTGCCATGGCTCTAATAAGGAAAACAGAAGGAAAAGTGTTGCTGGACTTTGGATCTCGATCCCAGAGGTGTACTTTTATTATACAGAACACAGCCCTATCTATCACACACACTGTGACCAAGAGCCAGTGAGTTGGGAATGCCGCTGTATATTTTTCACGTGCTACACTTTCAGGTTGTGTCATTTCCAAGATGAGCTATGAGGTAGCGTAACGGTGGGAATGGGGCCCGTTTTGTGCTCTGATTCCCCCGCACACTGGAGCCACGCTGGGCCAACAGACGCAGCCTTTAAGAAGCACTTGGGTTTCGTTTGGGTTACCTGGGGTTTGGTGGAGGCTGGGGGCAGCGTTGGGGGATGCTCGTTCATCACCGTGGTAACCATGGAGGAGCCAGAGCCAAAGACAGCGGCGATGGGGGAGGGGGTTTCATCGGGCGGGGTCATGCTGAGGGAGGGGGAGGCAACAGAGGAGAAGGAGGGAGGGTCCTCCAACAGATCCCTGTCCTTAAACGCAGACCTCAGCTCAGGCTCCGGGAGAAATCCTGGAGGGAAAGATAGAGAGAATATTAAACCATCAATACAACATTCAACATTATCTTACAATCATGAAACAAGTTTGATTTCAATTTAAATTCAAGATGACTTACTATTGTAAACAAACCTTTATAAAGACTTAATAAAGTGGGAAGATATGGTCTAATTTTAAAGCTTGGACATTTTAAGAGCTGTCATTCCTAAATGTTCACCAAACCTACAAAAAAAACATGGCTAAAGAATGTTTGTACAGAGTATGTATTTAGTGTTTTATCAATAGAAGAATCAGTAGCTCCAACTACAGCTTTAACATACGTGCTGACAGCAAACCTCAAGACTCATTTACACTAGTGGAATTTTGAAAGACAAGATTTAACAAACCTTTATATGGATTTAATAAAGTGGGAAGATTTGATGGCATGTGTTGAGGAAGATTGTGTGTAGCGATCAAAAACACATACGACCATGATTGTTGTGTCCATATTTTGGGAAATGTCTTCCAACACTTCAGTACAGTGGAGGTGGCTAGCTGGATTTGTGTTGCTCAGAGCATTGAAGACTCACATTTGAAAACATGTAACAACATCCTTTTCCAGAAACAAAGTCTTGGTCTCTCTGAATAATCCACACATCCTGGCAGGACAACGTTTTTGACTAATGATGTGACTACCATCATATCTGTATAGCTGAAATGTACCAGTAAGCCAAATGTCTTACATGAATTAATAAGGCCCTTAGCTCCATGTTGCTAGTCTAATGCTGGACGGCACTGCAAAGGTGGATAATAGCCTAATCTGTATATCATTTAGTCAGCTATTTTGTTGTTGTCTTCGTCTTGTGTCAAATGTCCATATTAGGCTTTATCAGACTTCATCCTGGTTGTATAGGGTTAGGGTTAGGGTGTCTGTAGCTTACAATGCTATTTGTACCCGGCGGGTTTCCAAAGCTAACGATGCTATTTGTACCAGAGTGGACTTAGCAGGCAATGCTATTTGCACCTGTCTGTCTGTAGCTTACAATTCTATTTGCAAGAGGGTATCCAAAACTAACAATGCTATTTGCACCTGGGTTGCCATAGACAATGTAGCTATATTCACCCGGATGCAAATCGACACTACTCTAGACAAAATAATATCACCATGTTTCTTCTCCTGAGCCCTGTTGTCATCTTTAACTTCAGCTAGTACGTTTACAAGTTCAAGACTGTGCTGATTGTGTTCTGCTGTGATATGGCGAGTGCAGCTCAGGAAATAGTTTTGCATAAAAAACATTCTAGAACATTGGGATTAACTTTGATTTAAACTAGATTTGAGTCTCCTCTTTTTCATCACAGTCAGTGTTTTCACTAGGTGGTCCTGAAAATAGAGGTTGTTGACGAACATATTGAGTCATTGTTTTAGTTAACAAATGGTCTGGATAAGTCAGGTCACCTTTGCCATGCCGCTCTTTGTCCCGCCGACTCCCTTGTCTCCTGTGCTCAAAGTGGTGTCCGTGACCATTGCCATGTCCATGTCCCCTTCCTTTGCGTGTCCCCAGCAGCTGGTTGTCCCGGCTCTGCGCCTGACTCTTCCCACTCATCCTGGCTCTGTCCCTGCCGGGGCCCATCTCCAGCCTCACCGGGCCCAAACTCTCCAGGCCTGTCCCGTCATCCTCGGGCCGGGCCAGGGGGTGCAGCGGTCTGTGGGACAGCAAACCAGCTCCACCTTTGCCGGCGCGGGCCCCCTGGCCCCGGTGCCCGCCGCGCTCCCTGCTGTAGTGTCGGCCCTGGGGCCCCTGCAGGGGGTGCTGCAGGGCGTTACTGCCGCCCGCTGAGCTCTGTCTCCTCTTACCGTGAGGAGCTCCGGGCTCAGCACCGTGCGACAACGTGAGGGCGGAGAACAGGAACGCCAGCAGGAGACTCCGGGAGAGAAACATGGTCTGTCCAGCACAGCGCCACCTGCAGGGAAGAGGAAACATCTCAATATCACACTTGCTCTGCTTTAATTTGTTTAAAATAACTGCCACTAAAATGTTGAAGCCCTATTATGCTTTTTGGGGGTTTCCCTTTCCTGTGGTGTGTAATATAGGTTTTTGTGCATGTTATCGGTCTGCAAAAGCTAAAATCCCAAAGTTCCCTCCATAGGGAGTTTCTTTCCCAAGAAGAGTGTTTCTAAGAAAATGATCACACAACACTGGAGACATAAATACAAATCCCAAAGACTTAGTGAGGATGTTGCATGCTAAAATGAGCAATTAGCGTACATCTTAGGTATAAACTTTCAGAGCTGCTAGCATGGCTGTTAACATTATATGTACAGACTATATGTTCAGTTCAGTTGCTTTTTCAACTGCATCTATTTTACATACAAGCACTGATAGCAAATTTCAAGTAGAATTTTAAAGGGAGACATTAAAAGAATTATTAGCAGAAGTCTGTCGTATTTCCTTATCCTGTGCAAACAAATGCATGCAGGGCTTTTCTTCTGTGCAAATATAAGCCACATAAAATTGTAAAATCCCTCTGAAAGTCATCTTCCGCCAACTCCCACGCTCAGCGGTGGAGCCCCTATCTGAGATCACAGACCTCCTCAGGTTTTGTGTTCACTGCATTCATTCTTCCCTACAAGCTTCCTACAAATTCACACTCACAAGTGGACCCATTTATCTGGACCAGGTGGGTTTGAGTAGGCCAGAAAGAGGTGGACAGACACTTGTGCCTCTTTTTAGAATGATTTCCCTGCCTTCACATTCGCCTCCATGCCTTCCTCAGTATGAATAATGCACTGCGCTCCTGCTTCATCGCTGACCGTTCAGTCTCGAGAGGCCTCCAACCGTAGCTTTCATTACAAAAGTCAACATGTCTTCTAGGTGTGACTGAAGTGAAATGTGAGGTTCTGTGGGTATTAATGGCCTCAGCATGTTGTACAAACGTGAACAAAAGATGGTGTCGAGATGAAGAAATTATATATTTTGTATTCCTATCTATTGGTCGCCAGCTACTTTACAGTTAGGGTTCAATTTAAATGTTGATTTTACATAACTAAGGGTTAATTGCATTCATATTGACATGCAGTTGTATGTGTCTTTTGAGCCATTACGGTACATTTATTTATTGAATATCACCAAACGTAAAAATGTAAAATAAAACCCTCAAAATGCTGTTTAATGCAGTGAACGTATATGCAACTTAAATTTGCTTGAAATAAAAATGTTAACATTGTTCATGAGTTCATTTATGAATAATACCATGGCAACTATACAGATACGATATTATACACTCAAACTTAATTTTTGATATTTAATTATCAAACTTAAAATATATATTGCACAGTCCGACTTTGATATATAAAGTCGATTAATTGGTCATTCGACCTAAAAAACACTATAGGAACTACACACAACAATTATTATAATATCTGTTGTTGCCATTGTTGGCAGGGAAACGGGGTTCAGGGAGAGAGGCTGTACCCGTAGGATAGAAAAGGGGGAAGTGACGTCTGACTCAGAGGTCGCGCGGCTGTGGAGAAGAACGTGTTGCCCACATTCTGTTACTGAGTTTAGGCTAGTTAGCTAGCAGGTTTATTGTTTTGGGTGCAGTCACTTTTGCCTCCACTTGCTGTTCAAATAAATGTTGAAAGAAAAAGTAAATCTGTTTACAGTTCTGTTTTATATGGGTGTTGAAAAAGAAGAAGAAGAATTGGGAGGGATGAAACCCTCTTCAATGGTCACACATGCAGAGCACACAGCACACACAGTGAAATGTGTTCTCTGCTTTTAACCCATCCTAGTACCAGGAGTCTAGTACTAGGAGCAGTGGGCAGCTATTGTACAGCGCCCGCGGAGCAATGGGAGTGAGGGGGGAAGGGGGATGTCTGGTGCCTTGCTCAAGGGCACCACGGCAGGAGGTGAACTGGGACCTCTCCAAGTAGAAGTCCACACTCCAAATAGGTCTGGTCGGGGACTTGAACCGGCGACCCTACGGCTCACAGTCCAAGCCCCTACTGACTGCCATAGATTTAGTCCCTAATTTTGCTCTCAAAATGGACCAGATTGATGCATTTAACTTCAACATTTTAAAAAAAATCTTCCCGGGGGAGCTTGCCCCCGGACCCCCCAAGAGGAGGTGAGGTCCACCACCTGTCCACACCCCCTATTAAATTGTCTCACCCACATTGAGGATGCTTCCTACGCCCATGTTTTATTCCATGTGTCAAGTCAGGCAAATTGGGTCCAAATGTTATTGCATCAATGATCTGTTAACATTAAAATCACTAAATATATGCTGTAACTATTTTGCTCTAGGCAACTCAAGGGCTCAGGTAATGTGATTACTATATGAATAATGGTCCAAAATAACATAAAATGCATAGGGTTTTTTGTTAAGTAACATACTTTCGTCGCCGGCCGGCCGATACATGCCGCGCATTAAGTGGGCCTGTCTGTCAATTAATCCCCGGGCCACTTTTTCCCCCCAGTCCGCCCCTGGACTGTATATTTAAGAAAAGCTAGACTAACCACAGACTCTGTGAAGACTCATAAGGGTAAGATAATAAAGCATATTGAATTGCAGAAGAATTGTGTCACGTTTTAATTTTGGCAGATTTACAAAAGCCTACACTGTGAACATCTACATCTTTTGGAATTCTTGCCAACACTAGACACGAGAGAAGGGAACACCAGTTCTTCTTGATGACAAACTCTGTCATGTCGGATAAAATGAGACTAAATATGATTTGCTTTGTTTTGTCCTCCACTTTAATATGCTGAGATAATCCATCGACACAGAAGCACACAATACTGTTATGGTGCTTCGTAGGCGACTCTTTTGTGTTAAAAGACAAAACGGCAGTGCAGGGAATACAGAAAATCAATGAGGGAGAAGTATTGAGCTGCTGGTCATGAGCGGTGTGTGTGAATGTGTGTGTGTGTTGCAGGGGGATGGATTAGGTATTTGCTCTTTTATCACACTGACCCACACCAAGATGAAACTACATATCCTTTGGGTTTACTGTCCGTTATTTAGTTGTTTCTAAAAAAACAGGACCAAGGGCGGCAGGTTTTGCGTTTGTTTGTGTGTGTATACTAATGTCCGGGGAAATGTGCAGTGCGAGTACAGGCCTGAGGGATTTAGAGGCAGACTGCGTCGGCCGGCCTCTGGGAGTGCGACCAGCTGTGCAGTTTGCAAACAGGAGCGTGAGGGTACTGAGGTGAGACCTTTATCTCCAAACAGGCCTTAAAAGTGTCGGGGGATGGGGGCCGGTCGGACGTGTCACGCACAAAAGTCTTTAGCCAGGATTAAGCTCTGGCTAAGGTGGTGCTTCTGGACTCTGTAAGGGCAAAAGGGTCATTTCATTTATGAAAACAAAGAAAACATCCAAACTTAAGTGAGTGGAAGAAGATGAGGATTGTAGGGATCATATACCAGCACATTTGAATATATAGCTATCAAAGGACTAGTTTGACATTTTGGGAAATTCATTTGATTGTTTGCCTGCACAGAGTTAAAAGATTGATTCAACTCTCAAGTAGGCTATGTGAAATATGACAATCTGTAATCTAAAGATCCAGCAGCTGGTTAGATTAGTTTAGCATAGCTGGAATCAGGGTACAAATGATAGCCTAATTCCATCCAAACTAAATCACCAGCAACCTGCCTTTCCTATCTCCGTCAGTAACTATTATCATTGTGGCTTTCCAACATGGATGGAGTGTTGTCTGTTGGCTTTTGTTTTATTACAAGTTGAACTGCCAAGATAAAGTGTGTTAATCATCGGGGTTTAAATGTGCTGGTATGATATATGTATATATATTTTTGTATTTGAATTCGGAAAGAGCAAGTCTAGCTGTTTCAGCCTGTTTCCAGGCTTTATGCTAAACTAAGCTAAACTGAGCTGTACAGATATGAGAGCAGTATTGTTCTTCTCATCTAACTTTTGAGAATACTAAAGAGCTTAAACTATTCCTCGAAATAAAGACATCTACTTGTTGAGTTGATAGATTTATGGTGAACAGTAGCTTTAAGCTTTATGTAAGCTTTATGTAAAATTCTGGAGATTTTTCTTTAATCTGAGGAATCAAAAGCAGAACAAATGGATCCATCTATTTCTCGTCTGTACCCGTTTATCTCATTTAGGATTAAAACTCAGATATTAACGCATAAATCGGATCCACAGACGTAGAAATAATAATAAAAGGCAATCAACACAACCCTAAAAAAAAAAAATCCCAAACATGAAAGAAAGATGCGACGCGTCCATAGAAACAGTAGGCAGCATGCATCATTTGATCGAATCTAAAGGGCTGAATAGACATGTGAAAGTGAAGGCAGGCGGTAATGGGGGGGGGAGCCAGTATCTCAGCACAGCAGTGCCCTGTTTTCCTCTCTCAGACTTTCATGTGCCGCTAACAGGTGGCCCTTTGAGGAGACGGGATGGGGACGATAATGGAGCACTCTGGGTGGCATTTGGGGTTTTTAAGCACAGTCTCTTGTGTGTGATAAACAACCTCCGAGAACAACACCACCTCCTGCCAGAGTGTGTATTATCCACAGTAGTGTTTTGTAGTAATGGCACAGCAGGGTGAGCATCTGCTGCTGAGGAGATCGAAGGCCAACGAGTAACTGACAAGTGTCAAGTGAGAAATCCACCGTTTAAGCAGTGAAACAGTGACATTAAATGTATGAAAACAAACTGGACTTTCTTGGCTTCAAGGGGGTTAAGATAGTTCTGGGTTTGAAGAATAAAAACCTGTTAAAGGCCAAGTAAATATACCTAAGTAATTTGTTTTACTTCCTGGTGAATATTTATTGTTTTGAAAAAATAATCAACATTTCAAGTCTAACTTTTGAATAATTAAATCCTGTTTTAATTAGATATTTACTAAAGCAAAGTTTAGATATTCACATTTCACATTTAAATGTTGACTTTAAATGGGTT